TCTTCAAACTCTTTTAATTAAAGCTGAACTAATTCTTCAAACTCTTTTAATTAAAGCTGAACTAATTCTTCAAACTCTTTTAATTAAAGCTGAACTAATTCCAATTTCCACTTTTAATAAGAAAATCTGAAAACTAATTTGACACAGTTATAGATTCCAGTAGTAAAATAATCAAACAATTATTTTGACACTGGTTTAACAAGAAATCAAGATATACCACTCCTGAATCATCAGAATTTATTAAATTACACTACAAGCTTCATAAACTTAAGATTCTTGGGGCATTTGCTTATCTCGTAGTAAAATTTTCTCACACTAAAATTTTGATTTTTACATCCTCAACATTATAACTTATGTATGAAAACATGAATTACACTTTCTATCTTTTCATACAAAAATAAAGATATTTTAGGAGTGAAAATTAAAGTTTGGATGTGAGACAAACAAGGGCCCGTTTGGGGCAGCTTATGCATTTTCAAAACGTAAAAAACAGCATTTTCACACCGCACCTATTTAGAAATAGGTGCGATGGGAGCTTATTGGCAATGGTCTGACTTTTCCATCATTTTCACAACGCACCTATCTAGGTGCGGTGGAAGCTTATTGACAATGGTCTGGCTTTTCCAAAAAAATAAAAATTTGCAATAGTCATCACACCTAGCTTATCAGTAGATTATTTTTAATCAGTTTATCAGCAGATTATTCAATAAGCTACAACTCCCCAAAACAGACCCTAAATTGATAAGAATGAGATGCTATGTATATAAATGTTACAACCAATAACAACCAAGAAGAGAAGACAAACAAGAAGACAATATAAATTTCACAACAAATAACAACCAAGAAGGAGACTGAGAACTAAATCAATCACAAAACCAAATGGAGCTCAAGCCCGAGCAAAACGGTCCGCCGGTAACGTCCGGCCGTGGAGGAAGTGAGAGAAGAGAGCTAACGAGCGATCGGCGGCGAAGATGGGAACTTGATGCCCCGCCCCCCTCACCGTCACCAACGAAAGACCTTCCTCATACTCCACCACCCATCCCGCAACCTGCTCCTTATGGTACCAAGCTCTCCACCCTCCCCATTCCCTCTTCCTCCCCTTCCTCTCATCCTGCTTCGCCTTCAGATGCATCTCATTGATGCTGTAACGAGTTGATGTCACCGGAACCCTACCGTCCGTATCCCCACTGATCTCATCCTCAACTTTGATCAGATTCAACAGCAAAGTAAAGAGCAAATTAACACTAGTTAATGAAAGAAGTATACTACCTGTAGACCCAGATGCGGAGGCCGGCGTTCATGAGCCGGCGAAGGATGGGCAGAACCGTGGCCGGAGAGTCGTTCCACTTCTCGATCACCTCGCTGAATCCGTGCCCACCATTAGTTTATTCAAAAACAAACACTGTTTAAATCTAAATTTACTGCATCATGAATGGATTAAATCTGAAAAACTGTTTGTGAACAGATTTACTAAATCCTACATGATCTTGAATCTAAACCGGATTTACAGCCAAAATGCGAGGAATCAGAATTTATGGCATCTAACCATCTGATAGAATTTTACTTAAATCCTGAATTAAATTGGTTGCCAGACAACCTGAGAACAGTGAATTCGCACATTTTTTGTCTTTATGAAACAGATTCCGTGATAAATTCAGCATTTGCAATAAAGGGAAATAATTGGTGAAAGGACAAATTAGCTTTCGGAGGAAGAGCGCGAAGAAAAATTCCATGGAGGGGCCAGTTGAGCAGACAACTACTGGAGCGATTGGCCACGCTCCAGTCAGGCATCATGGAGGAACATTTTACATGCGGAAATATATAATAAATGCCCCGAATCAATGATCATAACTGAGTGCAGGTTACTTTAGGACATCCGGGAATGATTACGAGAATCATTTCTATAATTTTTCTTTTATTTATTAAGCGAATAAGTGAATGTAGATTTTTTTTAGTTACGTATGATCCATGTTCGTGAGTACATACAATTAAGTAAAAGACATGATATCATTGCGAAGATGAAAAAGAAGAGAGATTGATGTAATCCTCCAGAAGAAACTCTGAGTGATATGTATATGGTAGTCTGACAAACAGGTTTCTTCGAGATCCCTTCTCTCGTTCCGGCTCTTGAAGGATTTTTATTCTAAAAGCCGGTAAACGAAGAGATTCTGAGTGAACCTGTTAATCAGAAGAAATTATTTCATACGGAGTACTTACACAGTGGAGCTCCAGTAATACGTCATCACGTGAAAGTTATTTAAGAGTTATTGAAGTATAACTGTGGAGATTATTGAGGTGTTATTGAGATGTTATTATGAGGTTATTACGCGGGTTATGCAGAAGGCGGAGAATATTGAGGGATTATTGGGGCGTTATTGTGAGATTATTACGGAGTGTAATCGCGGAGGTTATTGGGAAGTTATTGAGAGTGTAATATCGAAGGTTTTTGGGAGGTTATTGAGACGTTGTTGCGGCGTTATTAGAATTAATGCTCCAATAACCCCCAATTACCCTCCCAATAACCTTCATTGGTTCCAATTCAATAATCTTCGCAGGAAGTGGGCCTGATATAGCACACATGACAGCATATTACTAGAGTGCATATATGCTCCGTACGTAGTAATTTCTAGTTTCTCAGGCTACTAATCATATTCATATTACTCAAGAGTTCCTTCTAGGGGATTTCAGGTTTACTGGACTGAGCATACTCAAGAATAACACGGCACCTCACGTCGTGAAAAGATTCAACAATTAAATTACGGATTTACCTGCATGAGGAGTAGGGGTAAGAAAGCTGCGTCACATTGGCATGCAGAGCTTTCTGAACATCTTCCCTGTTGAAGTATGCCTCAACGTACTCCTCCGTACATGGATCGTAACCAGCTGCCATTCTACGCCACAGTCCCTGATGCATAAATCCAAAAATAAACACTAATATCGATCAGAGCCTGAATAGGAACAAAAAAAAAACTGAAAATTGGAAGTATATTCAGACATACATGCCGAGAAAAGAGAAGAGGAGCCGCTACAAGCCTTGAATTCCGGCGACCAAGTGATGAAAGACAGACCGGGGTGTAAATGCTGTAGATGTCGATGTCGGAATATGCCTGGAGAAAAGCTCGGAGTGCCGGCGAGCATTCGGGGCCGGCGGGGGGGTCACCATCTTCCTGAAATGAGCCGCACTGGTTGCGAATGATGGCGTGGAGCTCATCGGAGATGATGGCGTGACTCCATGCGTACTCCACCATCCCCATCTGGTCCGTCGCGTCGTTCAGCACCGCGTTCCCTACCTGCACGTGACATAATCATCGTCATTACCGCATTCTTCGGAAGCAAAGAAGGAATCTTTGCGGCACTTTCTTTCCCCTTCACTTTCATTTTGAAATTCAGTGGAAAGATGGAAAGAGAAAAAGGAAAGGCATGCGCGGCAAACAATCATGTTAGGTGATTTGAAGAAGAAAAGATAAATAATTGATGGTGGACCGATCAATTAGTTAGATGAAATTTAAATTATTAGAATTAAATAAATTTCATAAATCTAAAGTGATGAAGCACTTAATTACCATGAATCCCTTGAGATTAATCAATGGGATCAGCTTTGCCGCTCTGTTTCCCTCATATATTCGCTCCGCCAGCTGGGGAACATAGTGTCCTTATAACGAAAAATTAAAAAAGATCATAGCTTTCAGTTTGGAACTTATTTTAGTTTCAGGTATAATGCATTCAACTTTCATTAGTTTCTACCGGCGTAGCTCTCCCCGGCTATGTAGAAGTCATGGGACTGGAAGCGAGGGAAGCGGCGGAACCAGGAGAGAAGGAAGGAGTAGGAGTCCTCGGCAGTGACTCGATCGCCAAGTTTACGGAGATCCGTCGACCGGTTGGTGTAGGAGAAGCCGACGCCGACTGGAGCTTCGAGGAAGAGAAGATTGGCCGCTGAAATGTTTGCAAAGAGATGTTTTGAGGCATGAGCAAAAGGCCAAATTAGAAGGGCAAAAAGAAAAAAAATATTACTTCCATATGAGATAGGTATGAATAGGATGGTATTGTGATTATATTCATTATAATATGGAGAAAATATTGAGTGTAGATGAGATGGGTGCAAATTAGTTGTAGATTAACAGTATTCTGATGGTATTATATCGTAATATCATCACAATATCACAAAATAGCATCAATTAGTTGTAGATTAACAGTATTCTGATGGTATCATGATGGTATTGTATCGTAATATCATCACAATATCACAAAATAGCATCAAAATAGCACATATGATAGTAATAAAGTGGCATTTATGATAATATTATACTGCAATACCACCACAATACGATGTCTCCCGAGGCAATATTTTACCTATAATATCATCACAATACAACTAAATACCACCAATCTGTCATGTGAATTCTGCAAGCAATATTCACTCGGGGAAAAAGGGGAGATTTTGGGAATGAAAAAACTTACCTTTGTTCCAGGCGAATGGGTTCAAAGTAATGTTCGGGCTGTTACTCCTTACCAGAAATGGTCCCAACTCCTGCGCAGCGCCGTATGCGACGGACGAGCATCCAGGGCCTGCATCGCTATAAATGTCAGTTGCTCACAAATTATGCTTCGTGCAAGTGAAAAAAATTGAAAAGAAAATAAAAAAAATTAAATTGAAATTAATTCACTCTCATTTGTTCGATTAAGAAGTGATTGGTAGCTATTTCAAAAACATAATCAATGAAAAATTAGTTTAGAAAGAGACAATTACATGCATACCACACAATTCCTATGTATTTACATATCCAAACACTACAATTTTAAATTTTGCATTTTCATATCATACAAGTATTTAATATCACATCAGAATTTTTATTCTTTTAAGTATTAGGTGACAGGAGCTGTAAAAATGAAAATTTTAAGAGTCTGAAAAGCCAAATAACATCACATCACAATTATCATTATTTTAATACAATCAAACCACTTAACAATTATCATTATTTTAGTACATTAATCCTTGGAGTTACATGAAAGATGGGTCGCTTTCTATATTAAATGAAAATTTAAATACAATCTGATAGGACAGCTGATTCTCTCTCTCTGTAAATATGTTTTTTAGAATTTGAATAAAGCTTATGTTTTGAACTTTTTTTTATTTTTTTTAAATGACCTCACAGATCAAGATCATGTGTTGTCGGTATGAAATAATTTCTTCTCACTCATAAACCGTGCAAATAGAAAAAAAATAATTGATAAAATAACAAATTTTGGCGAATATGAATCTTTAAATTATGGAGTTTATTTTTAGAAACAAATTAATTAATTTAATATTTTTATTGTGTTACAATAAATTTAATAATTTTGGAACATGATATATATATATATATATAGGTGGGCACCGTATCCCCATGCGCCTCTGCTTGGAGTAAGCATTTAATATTGTAAATATCAGACCTTAGGTGTTACACACATTCAACACAAACTGTATGGATTTACATATCTAACATTTAAATTTTTACATTTATATGCATAAAAATTATTAAAATTAAATAAAAATATGGCACTCAATATGACACAATGGAGAAAAATAACTTGGTAGGATAAAGATTTGTTGTTGTTGTTGTTGCATGCAAAAAATTTAAATTTTACTACACAAAAAAATATTATAATTACTGATTTTTTTCAAAGAGAAATACACATTTTGATGTATTATTTATGAAACCAAAATGTAAAATGATAAATATTATCCCACTTAAATTATGCCATCAAACACAGTCTCTTAAAGTGTCAGGTATGTAAATAAAAATTTTATGTTAATATATATGTAATTTTTTCTATTAATTTTTTGAGTATGGTTATAAGAAAGCTATTATTTTCCTCCTCATAACTTTCAAGAATTTAATTGTCGAAGTGACATAAAAAAAGGAATCTAGAGAGATAAAGAGTGTGTCTAGCATAAAAAAATTTGGGAAGGTATTGAGATATTATAACCGTGTTATATCTCCTGTAAACTCTCTATAACCTACATGTAATTTATAGTAAGTTCTGCACTTCTCTTTTCATATATTTATAGGTTACATGGAGGGGCTACAAGGGGTATAACGTGGTTATAACCTCATAATACATTCCCTGTAACTTATTTGTAGATTACAGACGTACGCAGCTACACTTCGTGTCTAACAGCTATACTTCTGGCGCGATCATGCTATTTTTTATAAATAAAAAATACGTAAATTAAATTATTATTGTTTACCCCAGTTCAGTTTATCCATATATAAAATATTTCAAATATTTTTAAAAAATAAATTAATTTATTTTGGGGAAAAAAAGCAGAGAATAATAAGTTAAAGATCACAATCATGAAACCACGACATCACTGTTCGTCACGTGCACCCCCTCTTCTTCACGACGGTTGCACGTGACTCTTTCTCGCCGGGAGAAATTTGAGATTGGAATCACTGAATCCAGATCAAAGATTGTGAGAAATAGCGAGATGGGATTTATACCGACCTCCGTTAAGCCAGAGAACTAGAGGCTTCTCATCGGGGCTGTGCTCGGCCTCGAAGAACCAGTAGAAGAGCGCCTTCTCTTGCCGGTCGCCTACGCCGATGTAGCCGGCGTAGTGGCGAAATTTCACCGGCGGTTGGCCGGGAAGTGAGGTGACTAGATCGGGATCCTGCAAGGATTCCTTCGCCGGAGTGTTCCGAGCCTCCGCCATCCCTATGAGGAGAACCAGAGTTTGGAGAAGTAGAGACATGAGCGCAGACGCCATTGGAACTCTCCCTCCCTCGCTCGCTCGGGTGGGTGGGAAGAGGAAAGGGGGGATTGATGATTGGGGTGTATCGGAGATATAATAAATATTTTTGGACTATTGTTAATTTTTTTAGAATAACGAAGGCCGGTTTGAAAAAATTAATTTAAAAAAATACATACAATAAATATTTTAAGATTATTTTTTACCAAAAACAAAAAAAAAAAATCTAAGAATGCTAGCATCTGTCATAATTAAAAAATAATTAAAAATCAAATTTTAAATTTCATCATAAACTCAAAAGCACAACCCACCCTAGCAAAAGAAATGTTTTAAACTCCTGACGTAACTCATTCTAGAGTTACTTTCAAATTATTTTTGAGTTATTTTCAATAATCCTAAAATAACCCAGAAATAACTCACAATCTTTATTTCAATATTATTAAAAATAACCTAAAAATAATTTGAAAATAACTCAGAAATAACTTCGGCTGCATGTAGAGCTACGTCAGGAGTCCGCACAGAATATTTTTTGCTTATTAAGCTATCATTTATGTGGCTTTACATCATTATTTACTTTCATGCTATAAAGTGCGCTCAAAATGCTCCGGGTACGTGGAGTAAATAAGCTTCGCGTTAATTAGTAATGAAGCTAATTTTCAAAAATGCATAATCTTTAAAATAGGAAAAATCTAATGATGGTAAATATAAATCCTCATGATAATTATAGGATTCCAAATTATGTATGAGTTCACACTGCTTAAAAAATGAGTACTTAGAGAATGGAGTCACTAACAAATACAATTTTTTTTAATAAATTATCATTATGGCAAGATTCATTATATTATAAAATATGAAAAAGAAGCTAAAAAATAATAATCTAAGCCGCCGAGAAGGACATTCTTAGGCTCTGTTGCTTCTCAGCTTTTTCAGCTGCAGCTGCACTGCCCCAAGAAACTGCTGCGAGAAAGCTGGTTGTCCGTTTGGTGCAGCTATGTGAAAACAACTTTGGGCCAGCTGTTTCAGACAAAATGATCATGTTGACCATGTTTGGTAAAACTGTTTAAAACACAACTGTGAGAGTGACATATTGTATACTTCTGAAGCTAAATTTTACTTCAAAAGAGTTCAAAAATTCAAAAAGCTGCAAGTAAAAGGCTTATACTTCTTAGATGTACAATGCTTCCAAGTTCTTTTAGTGACTAAGCATGTATTGTTTAATCAAGACAAAGTGCTTTGTGAAAGCATACCCTGCCACCTTAACCAGCTCAATATCGCATTGTACAAGCATACCCTGAAAAAAGATTAACAAACTTCTTCCATCTTTATGACAGAATAAGAGTTGAAATTAAATTCAGAGAGGCGGAAAGGCAGAGGGGTATGAACTTAAGTACAATGGCAAAGCAAAGTAATGATTTCAGAGAGTCACATCAACCTTGTTCTTGAAGGAAGACCCATCTTCCTACATTTTACTTCATTTCACCGAAAGAAGACAAATTGACGAAAACAAACCAAAGAAAAAGGAAAATCACCTGAAATATTTTTGAACATCAATACCAGTAAATGTGCTGTCAGCAAGCAAAGTAAGATAAATCTGATTAGAACTAGAATTTTGAAGATCATTTCTTTCAGTCATAAATTCCATGTACTTGGAAGCATCCTCATCTACTACCACCCAATGATCCCCATGAGGTCTGCAATTACAACACGATCAAATGAGTTTTTGAAACAATAAATTCATGCCTTTTGCATAATAAATTTTAAGGTGTATTTACATTGTATTTACATACGCACCACACAATTCTCATGTATTTACTCATCTAACACCCAAACCTTACCAATTTACATGCATAGCACTCAAATCTTTAATATCACAATAAAAGAAAAAAAAATAAAAACAAAACACTACAACCTATTTTTTAAAAGTAAAATACACATTTTCAAGCATAGGTTTATCGCATCATAAATGTAAATATGAAAGTTCATGAACCCGGAGCGAACCTATGATCTTCAATGGCAAACTCATTGTAACTCGACAGTGACTGGCTCAGTGAGCCAAATGAGACCACAGGAAAGCAGAGATTGTGAGGCAGATCAACACCCATGGGTCTCAAGGGGTATGGCTGCTCTTCCATGAACCAAAGATCTTTTTGAGGGAAAAGTTTCTAATGCTTGAAGGAGCAGAGAATGGAAGGGGAGTAGCGTGGCTATAGGATGGATTTAAATGATGTGGGAATTTGAATTTGGAAGAAAACATGAAATAAGACTTTGCCAAAGATTTTGTTGGCATTCTCTGGTTCTATTTTCTGAATTCTTTGAAGTATACCTTGTGTGTATTTCCCAATCTCTATTACTCAGTAGTTTCTGTGAAAATCATCAATGGGAGGAAAAAAAACGAGGAACTAAAAACAAAAACGAGAAGGCGCTGTTGTGCTTAAGCAATGAAAATAGGGGAATCATTTCAGAGAAGATGACGGAAAAAATTATAAAAAAAAATGGCAGAAGAGTCGATGCTATATACGTGTATCAACAGAGTGAAAATCTAGCGAAATTTTTGATCTTTCTGTAAGAAATCCCTAACAAAAGTTAAGAGAGTCGAAATTTTTGTTACAAAAACAACTTCAGCAACTACTTTATTGCAAACAATAAATCACAGACAAGGTTAGAAGTTGAGAAGAACAGAGAAAACAAAACAAAACTTTACTCTATTTTAGTGTTGAGACGACGAAGAAGAAAGGATCGCAAGAAGAACAATGATCGCAGGAATCGAGACGACGAACCAGGATCATAGGAATCGGGAGCGCAACCGAACGAAAGGCGGAATCAAGGGCCCCTAGGTAAAATGCGGAAGGAGCGAAGCGGGGCCGCGGGGTAGATCCCGCGGCCCGCTTTTCGCTCAGATTCACGGCCGCCCCAAATCAAATGTCGCGCCAAACGAGTTGTTTCTGCGGCCTCCCGCCGCACTGCGCAGAAAAAACCGCGCCAAATGCACCCTTAGTATACCACATAAAAAGAAGAAATAAATGAATAGATGTGATCCTGAAAAATGAAGTATAGCACCCTATTCATCCGCATTTGAACCCCAAGAATAAGGCACATTAATTTTTGAGATAATCCCCCTTCATGACTAGAATTTGGGCAGCTTAAGGCCCATTTCAACAAGCTATCCAAGTATAAAATAAATGTCACAAAGCAAACTCATTAAACTACTAAAAAATGTTCCAATTTCAATCTTAAACATTCAAATAAATAGCTTTTCTTACAAAACATAGCATAAAGTTAGTATTGGCATTCCAAAGGATAATATTATCCTCCTTGGAAATATAATATTGCTAACAACATTTAGAAAAATGGCATCAAATTTATGGGATGGTGTAGAAACCGCACTATTCTCATTCTAAATGGTGACATCATCAGTGACAATAATAGATAATTTAATGTGGCGATATACGAGAGACTTCTTGATTTTAAAAAATGAGCAGTTATTTTTTTTAAGGATCATAAAATAAACAAAAAACAATTTATCAAAACCAATCTGAAATGTAAGTTTGGCCTATATTCAAATGGCGTTAGATTTAAATTCTTAAATAAAATATTTTTTTATCAAATTTGTAGCTCCAAACGGAACCATGGTAAGCATTTACCCAATATCTCTTAAGACTAGATTTATGAATGATTTTTAAGATTAAGGATGTCATGAGATGATGAATGGAATGAATAAACAATAAGGAGAGGTGAATTAGTATATTAACTCAAATGGTCTTCCCAAATCAGGTGATACAATCATGAGAGCTGCGACTAATTTTTCTTTCAAAGTATTAAATGCATTTAGACATTCATGGTCAAAATTAAATAGAGCGCACTATTCTAAAAGATGGCATAGAGATTTAGTGATTTTAGAAACTATTCTAAAAGATGGCATAGAGATTTAGTGATTTTAGAAAAATCCTTAATATGTTGCTTATTGAATCCAGCTAATGTGGGGGAATTTTTTCTATAACTTGAATCTTTGCCAGGTCCACTTCCATGCCACTTTTAGAATTTTTATGACCTAAGACAGTTCGTCTAGAAACCATGAATTGACACTTTTGCCAATTGAGAATAAGGTTGGTCTCTTCACAGCATTTCAACACCTTCACCAAATGATCCAGGTAAGTGTCAAATGAAGGGTCAAACATTGAAAAACCATCCATACAAACTTCTATTCTTTTCACAATTAAGTCGCAAAAAATAGACATCATGCATCAGTGAAACGTAGTAGGTGCATTACATAACCCGAAAGTCATTTTTCGAAAAGCAAAAATTTCATACGGACTTGTGAATCTTTTTATGATCCTCAGAAGCAATAAATATCTAATGATACCCAGAATATCCGTCTAAAAAGCAAAAATATGGATGGTCAGCTAATCTATCCAACATCTAGGGGTGTAAACGAGCCGAACACAAGCGAGC